TTCTACTAAAACATAAATTAGTTTTTTATGGAATATAAAAAATATTTGTTTTTTATGAATTTGTTCAAAAGAATTGTTCAAGTCATTATAGAATGTTTAGCACTTTGTTTTAGTCTAGCTAGGAAATGGTTCCATTTGTTAAATGCCATGCTTCTCTATCGTCTCTGATTCGAAGACCTGATGAAATAACACTCATCATGTTCGTTAAGGGTGTGGGTGTGGGTGTGGGTGCTGTAATAGCTTTACCCACACCCACACCCACACCCACGCCCTGACCAGATGGATAGTGCTTTTGTTGTATTGCCAATGCCCGCTCATAAATCTTCTGAGCTTCATCATGTTTGCCTTCACAATAGAGAATGTAACCGATATGGTTAAGGGCGGAAGCAATGAATACATGACCATTTGGATAATATCTGGAATAGATTGATATTGCTCGTTGACAGTAATTGAGAGCTTCATCGTACTTTCTTTTAGATATGAGAACTTCACCAATGCGCATAAGAATAACAGCAATATCGATATAAGGAGATTGATAATATTCTTCGAACATCATCAGTGCTTGCTGATGAAAGATAAGTGCTTCGTTGTTCTTTGCTTGCCGAAAAACGATTTTACCAAAGCTACGCACACTAGTGGCAATAAGCACATCACCACTCTTGTTAATCTGGCCCATTTTCAACGAGTCAGTTTTCTGTATGTTTCGACATATATCTACCAGACATCTTTCGGTCAACTGTTCACCACGAAGTCCCATTCTGTTTGCTGTATATTTCGATGGGAACCGAAAGGAAAGTCGTCAAAATTTTGTAATGCAATACCATTGAGAAATTCGTCGGAACTTTGTGATACAATACCATCAGGAACATGATTGAACGAATCCACTTGCATTCAATGAAACCGGACCGAACGACGGGCGAGCATAACTTGCCATACTATTGCGTTGCTGATTCGGTGGGCAAGACCTATCATTCTTGGTAGGAGAATAGATTTCTTTCGCAGTGCCAATGCTTGTTCATAATAATCACAAGCTTCTTCATACTTTCCTTCTTGATAGAGAATTTCACCAATATTGAAGAGTATATTAGCTAAATCCTTGAATCGTGTTGGTTTTACGTGTATTATTCCGTCATAAGCATGATCATAATATTTTCTTGCTTCACTCCATTCACCTTTCCATTGAAGAACTTCACCAAGACTATATTCAACCATCGCAAGATCTTCGTTGTAGCTATTCAACAAATGTTGAAAGAAGTGTTGTGACTGATCCCATTGACCCATATCACACATCAATCGTCCAAAGAGAATTCTTATACTCAGATCATCCATTTGATGATGTGAATCTTTGATATATTTGTCTTTGATGATTTGACCCTCGTTTGATGCAATCATTTGCATCAACCATATGTCATCTTCTATTTTTACACGCTCTAATCGAAAAGTGACATTTAAATTGAAGATACTATCTTCTTGTTCTGCACATGGTAATTCACTAAAATGAATGGTGTTAGCAACAATGACACTGTTACTCAAATTCTATAGATTAAATTGGATTTCTAAGAGAACAGGAATGAAATCATTTGTTCTTGAAGGTTTCATCGCTTTGTTCAATGCAGTTGAACGAAGACTACTTGTTGTGAAAAATCCATTGATTGAAACCAGTTTACCAGTATTTTCTTTGAATTTCTCAATTTCATCACTTGTTAATTTCATTCCTCGATAGAGAAATCGTATTTCTTTACCAGACTGAGCCATTATTTGATGTTCCTGAACGAAACTTTCTGTCAAATCTCTCATAAAATACCGAAATGTATCGAGTTGATCAAAATCTTTGGTTCTCAATGCTTTGTTGATGATTTTGTAGAGAAATGATTTTCTCAAATACCATTGAAGAGCTTCTTCTGATCGGTATTCGTTTTCAAGCTTCTCAGTCACTTCCAATTCTTTGATGTTGTCTCGATAATAGGAACGCATGCATCGACCACTTCTTGTTTAGCTTCTTCGTCATGCGTTAACGCAAAGAGAACATCAGGATAAAATTGAAACCAAAGAAGATCAGCAGTTTGTTTTGATAAGTCTTTTGTAAGATGTTCATCGGGATCGAAGAAGTTGTATGTGTATAGATGTCGATGGAGAAAATCGACTTGTTCTTGAATTGATAAACACAATAAATCGAGTTCATCATAGATACCAATAAGTTTTGGATGCTCAAAAACAAAATGTTTATGATCGATTTTTTCGCGGTTGAAGACAAAGATGCTGTCAATTTGAAGTAAAATTGTAATATGAGATAATATTTGTGATGCATCAGAAATTGAAGAGACGAACACGGCTTTTTCATTGTTTATCGATTTAATGAAACTGATGCAAGATTCTAACTCAATGTGAAATACAACATAATCATTGATTTGATGTAAGTGTTTCTTTGTTTGTTCTAGATGATTATTGGAATCGATGTTTGAGTCGAACCAAATTAGAGTGATGTCCTCTTTGTTGTTAGTTCTGTTCATTATTTCCGAGAAATTCTCCAAGATAATGGAATGTGTTGGAATGGATGACAAAAGTATTCAGATAGTTGTTCAATTGAAATGTCTAACAGCTAGTTGGGTAAGAAAAAAATTGACTTAAAATCTAGCAATAATTAAAAAAGCAGTAAATTTTCAAGACAAAAGAAAATGCCTGAGTGTCCTATGACTGACTAAAATTTTCTGAAAACGTGATTTTATATGAATGATGATATATTCCAGAGAATAAAAAAACATATTTCTGTCCAAAGGTATGTATTTGACAAATAAAAATGAAGAAGGATAAATCTGGGAGTACAATAATCAGAGATACAAGCATTTTGGATAATTATTTCTAGAATTTCTACGGTGGATAGTATTTCAGTGCAAATACTACAGAGTTCTTAAAATCAATCACATTCTTGAAAATAGCACTAGATAAGATTTGCCGCCGATGTCGAAATGTACAGGATTCGAATCACAGAGAAAATATAGATTCTTAATCATGTGAGAATAAGTAAGCAAATAAGAAAGAAGCATTGACTGTGGTGTCTTTATGTAGCTTCACTTATCTCTTAAAATGAGACTAGTAGAATTAGTGATGATGTTTAAATACTCCCGTTGATCGATTATATGACGCACATGTCATTGAAAGAAAGTGACTGGCTTTTGCCTACTATAATTTATTTATACATACAAAAAAGATATATTTTCTCTCACAACGTAAATAGACTACATAAGAGGAATGCGTCATGCTATTGATCCTGTTCTGTTCTTGTGCAATATCAATCCTTTCTCCTTCTCTTACTCATTTTCCATCATTATGCTAATCGTAGGGTCCTTTAAATGCATAACGAAAGATCTTCGCTAGCAACAAATTTCTTTCAACGGTTTTAGAAAAACAAGTCAAGAGGTTTCAAGCTTGACTAACTCAAATCATATAGAAATTAGTATAGTTAGTATCAATTGTTTTGACAGATGCTGATTGTTATTCACGCATCGTTTTTGAAGAAGATACAAATTTCATGTGTGTACCATATGTTTTTGATTGTACACTTTCATGAAAGAGAAACATTGTGCTAATTGTAGATCGATCTGTGAACTAAATCGTGTGATTTGAATTAAACTGTAGAGGAAGCAATGATTGATGTCTAATCGATTGTATGATCGAATATTCGAATCGATAATGAAAACAAAACGGAGAAGAGTATTTAGAAATAACTTCTCTGAGACTCATCAAACAACCAGTTTTTTGAATAAATCACGCAATCTTATTAGAAATGAGTACATACATGTCTTGTTTATCTTTGACTGCTACATAATTTAAAGACTTTTTACCAGTAGAATTATTTCGATCATGATGTTTCTTGTGTTTAACTATGAATATCATGTTTCATCATTGAAAACATCTATGTCTATTCATTAGTATCCTTTTTTTATTCTTCTCCTCTTCCCTATAAAAAGTGTACGTGTAAGAATATTACAATAATATGACAGGAAATATTAGTTTGCTTTGAACACAAATATTCGTATTTATCATTGATGTTTATAGACTAATGAAAAAAAAGTGACATACTCTTTCTGACTTAATATAAAACTCATTTGATTTATAAATGACAATTAATGATTCAATTTGTACATGGTTCAAATTGGAGATGGGTGAATATTTATTTTCAATATTAAAGGGGCATAAAAACAATATAACATGAGTCATCGAACTCAAAAGCCAACCATATCTACATATTGAAGACATGCCATTAGATATAGAATTTTATACACTGAACATATTATTATATCTAATGTAGATTTTTATTCGAGAAAAATGAAATTAACAACAAAATGAAGGCAATAGATACACTGGTGTAAACATATGACTGTCACACGTTGACAGCATAAACACCATCAATAGTGTTGATCACTATTCAAAATATAATACTGTGTAAAAAGCTCAAAAGAAAATATCTATCTGTATGTATTGGTAGTACTGACTGTGTTGAATGAATTTTCATTATATTATCATTTTTCAATTAATATCATAATAATAAAAATTTCGATGAAAATTAGTTTTCTTCTGTTTTTAATGAATAACAAAGGCTTTTGGTTTCTACATCACGTTGAAAATTCTGAATGTCTTTCAATAATAAATTAGTCTTTTTTTTTTCTAATGATTAGATACTAAACTATATGTATTAAAACACAAGATGGATAGTACCACATTGACCATTATTGATATCTGCATTTTTAGATATTTTCATCTATTGGAATATTTCATTATCGAGAATAATTCTTATGCAATAGCTATGTAAATATCATCATACATACAAATCTAAATTTTGTGACTATAGATGCATATAATTTATATCACGATATGTACAGAAATATTTCTTTTGATTATTGCTGATGCTGTGCATATTCTCACTTTTTTCTTGTTGGACTTAGTTTAATCTAGTATTCATATTTATTACAAATATATTATCGTTTCTTTAGAATAGTTTTCTACAGATTTTGACAAATTCATAAAATTTTCATTTCATATTCAAGTCTATTTTAATTCAATAGCTGATGGTATTTCTTTCGATGATCTTTGTCTTATTATTACGTTATTTCAAATATTTATCACAAAAATTTATAATTGTCAAATATCATCTTCATTCTTTAAACGATTAATACTAATGTGTTGAATTATGTATTATGGTGCAACTATCTTCTATACAATTATACATATTTATATAATGTACCGTACTAAACATATGACAGAATCATCAATTCAACAAGCTTTGAATTCTTGGTTGTATCGTTAAACTAAGGAGAATAGGGATCCCTCTTTTATATCTGAACTGGATAAAATCATAGAAGAGATTTTATTGGAATACAATGGGTACGTTCTCGTTGGTTTCCATTTAAACTACGAGGCTTCCAAAATTCCATTTTCGCTTCCACGTTATTTATCACCTTTTACACCGATATGGAAGATTTTTTAGAAGTTTCTATTCCTTTCTTTTGCGGATGTGAGCTTCAATAGAAAGCTCAAATCCACACCTACATCCTAAGTCTAATTGTTACACAACTGTATTTAACATGATCAATGTGTTGTTTGTTAGAATGACAATTAAGATTCGAAATTTTCTCAAAGCAGCTCAACGAACATAATCTTGATTTAGTGCTTAGGCATATCTTTCGCATGATACCATGATAAATACGCTGATATTTATGAAAACCATATCTAGAAATATTCTTCGGTCTTTTATTTCGATAAGAATGAATTGATGGCTGGGAATCGAGTCAAATATATTAAAGTTAGCTAAAAATAAAAGTAGACTATCTTAAATTTCGACTCCATCATGTACATGTTAATTCAAAACGATCTTTGGAGAGTTAATGAAAGATTAAATAAAACTTCTCTATTGTTAATTATGCTTTTGAATAGATCTCAAAATAGCATTTAATTAAGTTCTTTCATTATTTTTCATTGTATATGTTCAACGTGGCAAGAAATAATTATAGAGAATGTGCTTTATCATCTATTTACATAATCAAGGATAATACTATATAGAAAGAGTTCTAATTTGTGCGTCATTCTTTACGATAGGATAATTTTCTTTTTCTTTTTCTTTTTAGTCAATGAGTAAACTGTTTTTACGCAGAGCATACATGTGTGATGTCGAAGAATGCCATCTGTACTTTACTATAGCTCAATCTACCATCGTCTTACAACTATCATTGTACCAATTCAAATTGTACTTGGAATTTTAACAAATATATTTAATATACTTGTCCTTTCACGACGATCCTTATTACAAACGTCATCATGCACCCACTATTTTC